CTGCTTCCCATTGATGTGTCGACCCATCTAGATAGCCTTTTCTTGAGTTGACACGTTTTACCATGGTGGCTAGACGAGCTTGCTCCAGCTTCACAAGAGTTCACAGTTTCACCTGAGACTTGTAAACCGGAAGTAGTGAAGCAGTGAAAGTGCAAAATGCCACCTCCTCCGTCGCCGACTGCGCCTTTGAGCCCGTTCCGTGTTGGCGTTGGAGTTTACCTAATGTGTGCCATGCTCTGAGGCAGGGCACCTTTTACCACTTCGTAGGCAGAGGAGATGAAATGCGAGAAGTACGAAGTTGAGTGCGCCATGATGCTTGATTCAGGTGCAGTGTCCGAGGGCTAAATTTGGCGTGGCGCCGGCCCATCCACCACCAGTTCTTGAAGCGAGCGAGCAAGCGACTACAACTTGCGGAACACGGGGTGGCGCTGTGCCAAATCCAGCCTCCTTGATGAGCCCCATCCAGAGCGAACGAGAGTCGTCAAGCTGTCGCAGTGTTCGACACCGAGCAATGCAATCGTTTGACTAAATTGAAATCGCAGGGGCGCAGGTTAGGCGGACACGAGTTGCTTCTGCGCTATAACTTATTTCCACGGGGACAGAAGGATTTCCTGGATGATGTTCTCGCTGTTGGTGAGAAAACTAGCGAGAACATGCGTGGGATTTGTTAGTGGCAAAGCTTCCCAAATAGTCGCCTTAAACGTCACCGAGGATCGACAATTTTCACTTACTTTTCGTCAGCACTCGGGCAGAAAGGATGATGCGCGGCTGGATTGATGGTGAAGTGACCCAAACCGGGTAACTGGGTGATTTCAGGTTCTGTAGGCTCAGGAGTAGGTTTCCTTACTTGGGATTTTGGTCGTTGCATGCACATCGCATGAGGCATCCACTGAAAAGAAGCGATTATGGTAACCAGCGAATAATGAGCAGCAAAGGAACCCACCTCAAGGAAGAGCTTACGCACCCATTTCGGCATGCGATGTGTGGTTGGACCACGGAAATAGACGTTTATGATGATTACAGTAACAAGAATAGTGATGACATTGAGCACGAACGTAAGCAAGGAGATACCTAGATTAGTGATGCGAGATCGATGAACTACTATACAGCACAGAATGTCCAGGCCAAAAAGATAATGGGCTGAGGATAACTGACTTTGCCATGAGTGGAATAGTGCTGGAAGTTGGTGGAAGAATTTTTGAGACCAGTAGCAGAAACACAACTATAGAGAGCAACACGGAAATTGTGAGTGTCATCTTCTCTCCTGGAAAATAACAAATTACTTTTTCTGACATCATTCTCACAAAAAAGAATTGGAAATTTGGAAAATCAAAATTCGATAAGGTTTTTCCATGGAAAACTGAGAAATGCTTCCAATTCGAATGAAGCATTTCATGCGAAACGGCAGGTGCTACAAAACGCCACAAAGTTCATGGCTTGGACTTACCAGAATCTGTTGGTAGGAAGAACACTGCCATACTGAGAAAAGCCATCAGCACAGTTGGAATGATGAGCACCACGGTGTAGAAAAGTGTTTTTCTCCTGAACCATAAGCCTTCAAAATCATTTATTACAATGCTACAAGCTTTGGGAATTACCACATTACAAAAATCACTCAAATGAAATATTATAATGGAAATCAAGAGCTTTACTGGGCCATGAGACCGGCCTTTAGTAGACTATAAG